TACTCTCTCTCTCCCTCCTCTCTCTCTCACCCTCTCTCTCTCTCTCCCTCATCGCTTTTTTTACATCATACATATCTGCAAAACTGAGATATATTATTGTTTAACGATCGATTGCAGCACATGATAACTGTATTATATCGTTATTATCATTATCATTATCATCATCATTATTACCATTATCCTTCAAGGTAGAAGGAGAAAAACATAAGATTAATGAGAAGGAAAAAAAATAAGAATGAACTAATAAATTTATACATTTTTATTTTTAGGTAAAAGTAATTCAATAAAATTGGTTTCTTTTTTTTTTTAATGACCTTGTAATTTTGTTGGAAAGAAGAAAATTTATTTTCCTTACCAATCACTTGAAATGATCGATAATATTACCTGAAAAATGAAATATGCTTGTTAGCGTATGTATCTTCCGAATTAAAATTAGAGGAAATTATTAGAATCAAAAAAAAGGAATTATTAAAATCTGAAAAGTTATTAAGGTCAGAAAAAATCACTAAAATCAGGAAAATCATTAAGTTGAGGAAAAAGAACCGGTAAATGATTTTGTAATGATAAATGATGATGATGATAATGATGTTGATGATGATGATAATGATGATGGTGATGATGATAATGATGATAATGATGGTGATGGTGATGATAATTGTGATGATGATGATGATGATGATGGTGATGATGGTGATGATAATCATGAACATCGAATCTAACCTTTCCAATTTCTTTTTACTAACAGTTTCCGGAGGTTGCAATGAATGATTATCATTGGATTGATAGACATTTCCGTTTTATAAAGAAACATGGATTTTATTGATGGAGCAAATCGATTAATTTTATGTTATAGAATCTTTGTAAAAGTATAAGGAATTCAATTTATTGATTTTAATTTAATTCGAAATACAAATCATAAACCATCCATTTTTCAGAAGGATAAAAATTCATATAATTAGAAATGATATTACAATGATATATGTAATCAACAACATTAATTGCGCTTAGATCTTAATTTTAAACAGAATTTGTCATTAATTAAATCAAAAAAAAGAAAGAGGGAAAAACTTTCTGAATTATTTAGACTAAAATGCTATTTTATTCGTTTAATAGCATTTCAATCCAATCTTTTTTTGAAATTTTAAAAATTTCTATTCTAGTTTTGGCTAATTTAATAAATATCTCCCTAAAACTATATTTATCCTAATCACATCCATCTTTAATTTATCAAGTAAATGCTAATCCTTTTACCTTTTATCTTCACTTTTTTTTTTTTTTAGGCATACATTAAATTAACTTTGCTCAATACCAATATTCTTTAGGATATTTTCATGTAATAATTACTTTAAATCTTATTCAATTTCTCTTTCATGTCCATCTTTCGCTATTAATTTCATAACTTTTATTTCATTTCGATAATTTCATCGTTACTCTTTCAAAATATTTTCTTTGTAAAAAAAAAGGAGAAAAAAAAGTGAATTTATTCATTTGCAAATTGCCAATTATCATTATGTCATAAAATTAATTACTAAAAATAAAACAATAATAATGTATTTGTATTGTATTTTCAAATATTGAATAAGATTTTGTATTTTTAATTAAAATTTTTCTTTATTTTATTAATTTTGTTTCCTTTTTAGGAAGTTGAAAATTAATAATCTTTTTAAACGATCACATATCAAATCTATTTAATAACATCAAATAATCTCACATCAATCTACTATCTACCTATAGGAAGTTGAAAAATTAATAATTTTTTAAGCAATCAAATATATTTCATATTTAATAACTACAAGTAAACATCAATCTCC